TCAACCCTGAGCCGGTGGGATTTGAACCGCTGAACTGCTGATCTAGCAGTAGCCTGCAGTGCTGCATTTAACCACTGCGCCACCTTGGCTCTTTTCACAATTGTTTTTGTTTAAATTGTGGGAGTTGCGGTATTTAGCTTTCAATTTTGTAGAAATTAAAAAATAGTAATATGATGAATTTGGGCGTAACAGGCAGAAACAATTTGCTTCTTCAGTCCATTCCTAAACAAAAAATGTGATCCTTAATGAACAGCTGAGTTAAAGATCAGGTCAGTAGGATTACTGGATAGTGATGGCAAAATGCATTAGAGGGGAAAGGCATCACAGGACTTGCTGATTATTTTTTTATCCCTTGCATTCCTAATGCAAATAGATTATAATTTTCTATCTGTGGTAGCAAGGAGTAGAGGATTTTTAAATTTTAAACTTCAACGTGGCCAAAATGTAAAATTTAATATTAAATATAATAAGTTGTATGTTTCATTTTTATGTAGGCTTTTCTACATTGGTATATTTGTCAGATGAACATCATAATATAATAGCAATCCAGATATGTACAGATCTCAAGTTGTTTGCTATTGAAGATATAATCATTCCATATGCATTGATCTCTGCAACCAATCTTCAGTGGCGACCTGAATTCAAATCACAAATTCCCACCCTATTTGCTGGAGAGCTTTCTGCATTTTCTTCAAACCCAAAGGAAAAGCATCTCCAAGAAATATTTGAAGAATTTAAAAATGCTATTCAGGTAAAGTTATTTCTAAAGAGCAGTTAAGTACATTCAGTGCATGTAGTCACTTTTTTTTGTGATGCAGATTAAAACACAGCATTCCACAATTGGTTCAGTGTCTTCATCAATTTTCTACAACCTTCCACATTCCCAAAACCCCTTTGTGGAAATGAATCTAAATGCTGCACAGTCCTACAAATAGGATTCATTTAACAACCACTTATTCAACAACTATTTAAACTTACGGCAGTGCAGAACAAGTGGTAGTTATGATGACCCTTGTATTTGTTGGTTGCAGTGTCTTTGTGATCACATCTAGGTTCTTGATGCCCACAATATCAGTGTCCCAGTATCCCAAAGTGACCGAACCACCAATTACAACCTTCTTGCCAGTTTGTTATATGTAAAAACTATGGGAAAGCCAACAGGAGTTCACAAATGGTGACCATGTGAGGTCCTCATTTAAGAGACCATGTTGATTGATTAATAGTATCTCTTAAGTGCTTGAAATTAGCAATGAGGTCACATGCGGTAGTGCTTTAAAGCCATGGCATTTAGCAACAGAAATTCCACACCCAATTGCCTTTATTGAAGACAACCATATATACTTCATTACAAGCAATCATAATACGTTCTTTTGGTAATTCCTGACATTTAAAAATAAGGTGTTAGTTGCATACTTAAAATAATTTCATAAAACATGTATTGATACTACACCTGAAATAACAGGTGTTATTTCAATTTTTGTTTTGTTTTTAAGTTGCTGTTCAAGCCCCAGAGTTGTATGTCAAGTGGATGGCCATATGAATTAAATAATAATATCCATATTTTACCAGAATGCAGTTATAATACAAAAATATTGTTTTTGTCTTGTAGAACGATGGCTGCTTTAGCAAAGAGGCACAATGCAAAGTCATGAATTTTCTAAAATCAGATCCCTTGCATTTACTTAATTTTTCCAAAGAATGTGGTTTGGATCCTCCCTGGAAATGCGATGCAGGAAATAAACAAGCAGTAAGTTTAGCAAAAGAACAATTTTATAAATGCTGTTCAAAAGTAAATTATTCTATGTTCATTGGATTTCCTATCAAGAATTTCAACTAAAATATTTTAGGGTATTTCGTAATCTTCTATAGTCACTGCTGAGAATTCTAGGAGTTTAGACACACATCTCCAGGTCATGTAGGCCAGGATTGCTGTCTTATACTGATCGTTTAAATATCTGATAGAGAGATCTCCTAAAATTGCTTTGAAGGAAGTTATTTTAAAGAGAAAGACATTATTTAATTCAAATGTTTTTAGTGAGTAAAAATAATCATTTTTGTTGTCTTTTAAAGATTACAATTCCCAACAGTGAACTAAGACATCAAAGTCCTTTGACCATTGGAAAGTTAGACATAAAACCATCCTTTTCTCTTGGATCTGCAAAAGTGACACCAGATTTTCAAGAAACTCCAAAGAACTGTAAGAAACGAAAGGCAATGGATCTGCTCAGTCGAGTCCCTTCCCCTCCACCTGTGAAGCCAATCTGCATATTTATTTCACCACCTCTAAAAAAAGCATTTCAGCCTCCTCGAAGCAGTTGTGGCCAGAGCAAAACATCAATTAAAAAAACTGAAAGAAAGAATAGCAAACATCCGCTGCTAAAGTTAAATGGGGCTGATTATGCTCCTGAAACCAATTTTGTTGCTGATGAAGAACTTGCAATGATAAATACCCAAGACCTCTTAAGTAATTTTTCAGAACAAGGAATTGTATCTATGGGTGACACTGAACATGTGATATCCAATACATGATGCTGCAGTTTTTTCAGGCTGATCATTCTGTCCAGCCTGCTAATTAAAAAAAAAAGTATGAGGGAAATACCCCCCAAAATTAATTCCTTTAAAGGAAAACAGAACAAACAGTTCATTATGGTGTGGGAAATGTTACAGAGGCAAAGCAAATAATGTCACTGTTAATATAGTTTGTATTTAATGTGTGAATTACCTTTTAAAACTCTGAACGCTGTAAAAGTTTGTTTAGATTTGTTTATTATATATTTTAGCTCAAAACAAGCATTTTAAGACACTTCAGTAAGAATAACTTGCAAATTCCTGATATGTAAGCCACACGTACATTGCTGGGTCAGAAGTTATTCGTTCCAAATTTTTATCTCAAATATTCATCTTATATCAAAGTTAGCTTTTGAACAAGCGGCTTAACAGAAGAATACATAAAAAGGCTACACAAAATGATTTTTCTTGTTTTTCTTTCCTTTCTTAAAGATGCTGCATAAACAGCTATTCTAAACAATGTTTAGAAGGTCCAAAATTATATGAACAGACACGTTGCTTTATCAAGTTTGAATATTAAAATAGCATCAAATTATCCTCTTCCCTAAAAAAGAAAATGATCCTTCATCCTTTAATTTTTACAAATGAGAATATCACCTGATCTGTAACTTATTTAAAAAAAAAAACACGGGGGAAATCAATATAAATTCTTTTGTTGCCAAGAACTGATTTCTGCAAAAAGATATATTATTACAGTGATCTCTAAATCATAATGACAAAATGTTGCTGAACACTAATCTATCTTTATAAACCAGTAGCAGTTTTCAACTATGAATAAAATGATCATTACCTGTATAAATTTGTTTGGATAAAATAGCCACAATTTCATTTTAAAAACTACATAATATCCATGATAAAAGCGTTAAATTCATTGCAAATGATATGTTAATTCCTGGCATATTTAATTATATCTTCTTAATTGCTTGATATGCTTCACAAATTTAATTGGCTTGGGTGCCTAAAATTGGAACCTGTTGCAAGATTAGTCTCCCTAAAATATAACATTTAAAAAAATAATAGAATGTTATAGCTAATTTTTAAAGAATAAATAAAAATCAGGTGAAGAGAAAGAATCCAGTTTTTACTATGATGTGAAAAGTTTTTTTTCTTCTGAAAAGTTTATTCTTTCAATATTAATAGCAGCTGTAATAATTTAAATATTTTGGTTTTAGTATCTAGTTTTCAGCATTTATGCTGGTTTCTGACTCATCTAAGTATTTATTACTTAATAGGAAAGTTGAGGTGCATCTTGTTTCACAAAACCCAAATTCTACAAAATTACCACTTTTGTAGAGTAAAAATAAATAATTGAGGCCGCGCTTTTTGCTCTGTAGTATTTTATGTTAACAAATTACTACCAGCTATATAAAATAAATCAGAACCAGGAATTCAAAAATAGGGATCTAATGAAGCACCTCATATCTTTGAACAATACCCTGAATAGGATTTTTTAAAGAGGAAATCAAAAATCAGAAAAGTAAAAGAAGCCACATACTATGGATACACATTTTAAAAACAATCTAGAACACAGAAACCATAGGACTTAGGAAACAAGATCTTATGTTAAATATTACTTAACAACCATTACAATTCTGAGGATTTCACAAATCTATACTGGGAACAGCTTCAGGTTTACTTATCCTGCAGCTCCAAAGCTTCGCCCACTGCCATTCATAAAATGCTTGGTTCTGGTTCTCTTGAAAGCTCAGGCTTCTGACTCACTGAACATTTCTGCCATTGGATTGGAGTCTTATTTTTGGTCAGTGAGAAATCAAACACATTTATGGCTGCTACCACCACAGAATTGCTCTTCTTAATATATGAGGATTTGGGAAATGATATCTCATATATCATGGTTAGCATTTTAATGCCAACAGTCAGCATGGTATTTGGCTGACATATGTAGATCTAAAGAGGGGCTATCCTGTAATTTTCTGTGTGAATATAACCTAGTATGAAAATGTAAAAAAGCAACAATGATATTATGGTTTATGTTTACATTATTTCTTCTATAATTTTCTTTAAAATCTGCAATAATTATGGAACATCAAGTTTAAACAGGTTAAGACCTACTTTAGTTCAATAGAAAAATAGAAAATTGCTAAGAATCTAAAACAATATACAAATTGATAAAATCTATAAAATCCCATTAAAATCTCCCACTAGGTCTCCCATTAAAATCCTTCAATTTCATGACTTATTCATTCTGTTGTTGGAAAAATAACGTCCAGAATTGTGGTATCTGGCTGGTTCTTCAGAATGAAGCACTGTATGGAAGGTAACATCATGCTCGTATTCCTCTTTCATCCATCGTATTTTCTCAAATGGAACACCGTGATGATTACGTCTATAAAATAAATGTAAAAATATAACAAGGAAAGCATGAGAATATTAATTGCCCCTGATCCATGCATTAGTATTCCTTGTATGTGATTTGGGGTGGGAGTGGGGGGAATCTAGTACCTGATACATACAGATTCAGAAGGCAAATTTCCTATATGTACAGTCAGGAATTAGTCCCTTAAATGCATATATGCGTATGGTTAAGATGATTATATACTGATTAAGAGACCAATAGATTCACTCCCTAATATTGAACTCAACTACATCCAACACCTATGTGATCAAACTGTGACCACTGAGAAGGGTCCTTTTCAGCAAAGTAATCACCAGAATCACAAAAGAAAGAAAAAGGCTCCAAGTTAAAGACTCAATTGTGTTTTTATTAACTATGGGATACTGACTAGAGGGCAGGAAAAGGACCAGTTGTTACAGCAAGCCCCTAGGCAATTTAATATATTCAGTACAAGCAGAACCAAAACTGATCTACTGAAGAAGAGAGTTATCAGACTAACTATATGAACTTTTAACACTGGTTTTCAGAACATTTTTGTTAGTCTAATTTAAAAAAGCATGAACACATCGATGATGATTGGCTATAGGGAAGAACCCCAAATAAAAACACGTTATAGAAGAATAGACCCATTCTTGATCATTTTATAGAATACAGGATGGGTGTCAAATTAGCGGCATCATGTGACATTTTGTGACATTTTTTCCTTTTGTGGAGCTGGGGAGGGCATGGGCTCCGCGTGACGCAACCAGGCCACAGGCCACCAGTTTAGCACCCTGTGATAGAAGATAAATAATGGGTTTAAATTATAGAAATGCAATTTCAGATTAATCTTGCGCAAAAATTCTGGGTGGTAAGAATTGTTCAGCAATGGAATCAATTGCCAAGAGAAGTGATGTGATTTGCTTCACCAGATTGGAACCATCGGATTATAATGTTTTAATTTAGATTCCTGCCCTGAGCAGAAGGTGAACTCAGTGGTCTAAATAAATATCCCGCCCAAATCTATGAATATAAAGCTCCCAATATGCTTTGTGTGAGATAACTTTGGACACAGAAGAAATAAAATTCATGCTTTCTCAATTGAAGCTTTTGCTCCTAACTTTCTCAATTTTAGATTAACATAGAGATCAACATTAACAAGATCACACTTCTTAAATCTTCATAAATCTTGCCAAATAATTATCAATTTAAAAATAACATTTAATTTTTCCCAGTTTTCTTACTTTTCAAATCTCATGTTTTTAATAAATCATTGCTGCAGGTTTACCTTTAAATACAAATGTTTTCTATTTGCAAATTGCTGTATTTACAAGATATTTTCAAATACTGAAAATTATGTTTAAAATATACTCCATTTCTGACTCATGAGATATAGTACTGACATGGCAATCTGTCTTCATTGTAGTTTCTAGGTCACAATTTGTGCAACATATCCAAGAAACTACATTACTATGATACATAAACAGGATGAATATTTAGATATCTCCAACTAGACTAGTAGAAGCCAACTTTCCTACATGCTATTTCTCAAGACAAAATCAGAATTCAAATAAATCAATGATTACAACAATGTTCTACCTCGTTTTTCTAAATTTGGTTGTAAAATGTACCTAGCTAATTCCCGAACATGGAACTTCCAACGTGTATCTGGCTCTCGAAATATAACTTCATATCTGTTTTCAAGTGCCTGGTTAAAGAAAAACAAACAAATTGTTGTTATGCTACAATTTTAGAAAATACTATCATGTTTTAATCTATTAAATGGTGTTTTACCTATTTTTCTCTACCATGAGGGAGAAAAAAAATACCAAAGGTTGGAGTTGCACAACACATTTAACCTGATTACTGAATAAACCCAATACACTGATTAATAAACTGCATACCACACACCAATCCACCAAAAAATAAATGTTAAAAACATCATGTAATGTGAATGTACTGTATTTTTCGGAGTATACGACACACCAAGATTTTGAAGAGGCAAATTAAAAAAAAAGTTTTTGCACACTGCTGACCTCCCAAAAATGCCCCCCCCCTTTAAAGGGCATGAATAGCCTTTAAGAGGCCTGCAAAGTGCTCCCGGGGGAATACCCCCCAAAAAACTAGCAAAAACCGGCCCATTTTCCATCAAAACAGGCATGCATAGCCTTTAGGAGGCTTGTAGAGTGCTCCTGCGGGTTGGGGGGGGGGGCAAAATTGAACAAAAAACCGGCCCATTTTCCATCAAAACAGGCATGCATAGCCTTTAGGAGGCTTGTAGAGTGCTCCTGCGGGTTGGGGGGGGGGGCAAAATTGAACAAAAATCGGGTGTTTTTTGCTCATTTCTGCCTTCCCCAGCCTCCAGGAGCATTCTGAAAGCTTCCTAGAGACTATGCACAGCCATTTTGGTGAAGGGGGCAGGGCTTTGGGAGGCAAAAGATGTTATATTCAGTGCATAAGATGCACCCAGATTTTCAGCCTCTTTTGAGGAAAAAAGGTGTGTCTTATACTCCAAAAAATACAATAGCTCACACAGCTCCACCGGACTTGGCTAAGTAGGTTTTACTTGCTTCTCAAGCATGTTAATCCTCACTATCCACATTTTATGAGTATCTAAAATGAGAGTTTTTTATTTGACATGAATCCACAGCATACAGAAAGGCCCTCTACCTCTTTTTTTTTTTAAATGACTAATTCAAGTTGAATTCCTTCAACTTCCTGAAAGGACTACCATGAAAAAATCATTTAGAGAATACTGTACTGAGTTCTAAATGAAATGGGCATTCTCACAAAAGTTGTTAGTTGTAAGAGTCATTGCCTTATGCATTATAGCTGTTCCAAGCATAGAAACTAGAACTTGGTGTCTTATACTTCAGGATTTATTTCCAGGCTAGTAAAGTCAGCAGATTTACTAATGTAGTTATACGTCTACTGCTATTGGCTTTGACTGGATGGATTGACATGAGGAGTGCCCCATCAAATCTGCTGTTACCTAAGCACATCCTTCAGGATTGCAGACCCATGGCGAAATCTGCTGCAGGACAAGGCACACTACAGCTGATTAACTTCCAATATTGGGAATTTAGGCTGCAAACGCAGAGATTACCATGAATGTACTTCAATGAATTTGGATATTCTGTGTGTTCTTTTGAATGAGATTGAATTGAGCTGAGCTTCAGGATACAATGATGTGTAGATTATATTACATTTTTGTTGTTTATTTTCCCATGTTGATGTTACTGTTCATGCAAGAGTTAAGCAGAAGCATTTTTTTCAACTACATAACAGAAACAGTGCAGACAGAGGTCCAGCAAAAAGCAACCTGAATGGATGACTGACTTCAAACAAATCCTTTTTGCTTTGACTTGCCTAACAGCGGAGTGGTAATCTATAAAAAACAACAAGGAATAATTCTTTCCGTGGACCTCCTGAGACTTATTTTTAATGTTTTGAAAATAAAATAATCTGCCCAATTCTTTTGTAAATTGGATTTTTCTTTTTGAGTAACATCCCATCTAACCTTGTTTTCCTGGGATGAAAAATAAGGGAAGTTCCCACTGTTTTCAAGGACTGGGATACTTGAAATGTTTTATTAAAATACAACAAATTATATTCTGCCAAACAAAGCAGGATTGTTTTGTTGGAAGCTTAAGCGAAATATGTTTTGCAATCCATACACACACATCTTCTGTTATTTATTGTATTTCTCAGAATTATTTATTCAAGCATGACTATACTATTCATACTTTTCCAAATGTTTTGTCAATAAATTTCA